GAAGCACCAAGAATGGCCGAGATTCCAAGGGTCAGAGGCTCGGCGTCAAGATCTTCGGCGATCAACTTGCCAAGCCCGGTTCCATTATCGTCCGTCAGCGCGGAACCAAGGTTATTTCTCCCTCCTCTGCTTCAATTTTGAAAATTACATGAACTGGAACTTACTGCTCGTTCCGCCCATCGTTTAGGGCATTTCTGTGGTTTCTGTTCTTGTACCAATCATTTGTTTATAGGTCTCTTTTTTTTGTCCCATTTCTTTTGTGTTGCAAAACCTCCAGTTCCACGCCGGAAAGAACGTGGGGCTTGGCAAGGATCATACGATTTTCTCATTGATTGATGGACTTGTGAAATTCGAGAAGTATGGACCTGACAAGAAGAAGGTTTAACTTCGAATCTGGACCCTTCATTCAAATAATGAACACAAAACTGAGATATATTTCATTGCAGGTGAGCGTCTACCCAAGAGAAGTGCAGCCTGAGAATCCAAACAGCTACAGAGCAAGGAAGAGGGAGTATTTCAGGTTGCAAAGAGAGCGCAAGAAAGCAAGGAAGGAAGGCAGTATTGCTCAACCCCAATTAGTATTAGCTTCTTCTGATGCTACAGAAACAAATCCAGTTTGCTGATTTCCAGAGGCAGCACTTCAATTACTGCTTCTTTAAAAGCTCTCATGGTATTGCAGGAAGAAGGTCTGCTCCACTAGCTTCTCTTCTTTAGTTGTTGTGCACATATAGTTTGCTGGATTCTTCATAGCAATATTCGCTTGTTCTACTTCTTGCCCTCAGATTTTCTGTAACATTCATAGCCCGTTTTGAAAATATTTCAGATATCCCTCAACTTTCACTATTTTCTTTCTGGGTTGATTTTGTTGCTGTCAAAATGGCATACAACAGATAATACGGAGTGAGTTTTGATGAATTTTCTGTTGAAAATGTTTCCAGTAGATTAGATGAATTGGTACCCGCCCTGTACCAACATCAATAGGCTGAAATTTGATATAGTTTTCGTGATTTTCTTATTGAAATGGCATGCAGAAAATTATGTAAAATTGGGAATTGGGATGCCCAATATGCTAAATATGATAGCAGATAACATAAGAAAGGGACATGGCAAAAAGATAATTAAAAGGAAGTCCATTTTAAGAGCTTCAGAAACAACGTCGCCTAGCGATGATCAATGTGACGTAAGAGATTTTTCTTAACTCAGATTATTATTCAACAAATTAGAAATACATCCCAAAGCAATCAAATGATTACGAAAAAGAAACCAAAACTAATAAATACACAGATGATGATACAGAGGAAACCAAGTCTAAAAATCCTCATCCATCTTGAACTCATGAATCCCTCCATTTCCATGGAGGCTCGACATCACAGACGCCTTCTGATACTCTCCCACCCTCTTCTCGAAGAAGTTGGTTTTCCCCTGCAGCGATATCAATTCCATCCAATCGAACGGGTTCTGTACATTGTAAATCTTGCTGTGCCCTAGGGCTACCAGCAACCGGTCAGCAACGAACTCGATGTACTCGCTCATCAGATCGCCGTTCATCCCCACCAACGCGCACGGCAGTGCATCGCACACGAATTCCCTCTCGATATCCACCGCCTGCCGGACGATCCCCTTCACTTTGTCGTCGCTCAGTTGATTCCTCATCAGAGAGTACAGCAAGCACGCGAAATCGCAGTGCAGGCCTTCGTCTCGGGAGATCAATTCGTTTGAGAATGTCAATCCTGGCATAAGGCCTCGTTTCTTCAGCCAGAATATGGCGCAGAAACTTCCCGAGAAGAAAATACCTTCCACACATGCGAAGCCAATCAGACGCTCTGCAAACGACTCGGAGCCGTCGATCCATTTTAGCGCCCACTCGGCTTTCTTCGCGACGCAAGGTACAGTCTCGATGGCGTGGAACAACCTGTTCTTCTCGACTGAGTCCTTGATGTAGGTTTCGAGCAACAAACTGTACATCTCGGAGTGAATGTTCTCAATTGCGATTTGGAAGCCATAGAACGCTCTAGCCTCCGCAACCTGAACCTCCTTCATGAACCGGCCGGCGAGATTCTCCAGAACGATACCATCGGAGGCGGCGAAGAAGGCCAGAACGTGGGAGATGAAATGCTTTTCGTCGGCCGTGAGGCCTTCCCAATGGCGGAGGTCCTGTGAGAGGTCGACCTCCTCAGCGGTCCAGAACGAGGCCATGGCTTTCTTGTACATTTCCCATATCTGAGGATACTCAATTGGGAACATGCAGAATCTATCGGGGTTAGGAGCGAGCAATGGCTCCTCTGGAATCGCAGGCATTTTGAGAAATCTGAAGATTAAAAGAGAGAATTGGGAATTCTGGTGGCTAGATTCTCGAGTGATGATGGTTTTGCACAGAATCTAAGAAGAATGCGAATTATATATAAGCGGTAAGCGCAAGGGGGGAAGAAGATAAAAAAACTAATAATAATAAATTAGAAAATCAAAAAAATAAAAATGGAGCGGGTGATTTTGAAATTTTGCAGAAGCTTGCGGGAGAAGAGACAGAACGTGGACGAAGGGCAATTTGGGAAGATTCGAAGATACGATTCGGATGGTCAGCAATCGCAGCGGCCCGATTAGAAATTTAGAACGAAAGGGTGCAACGGTCATTTAATACGATTTGTTTCGACTTCCCAAATATGACCTTTATGGTTATGGGAGATTCACTTACGTTGTTAGGGAAAGGGATGGGCTGACCCCGTAAATATGAATATAAAGGAAGGGTGGAATTGGAAACAAGTGAAGCTTGAGAGGGAAGCTTTGCCTTTTAATTTGGCAGAGAAATTCGATATGGGTAGCGGGAAACTGAAATTGGCGCCGTTTCGAACTTGGAGTTCTAAGATAAATTTTTAAAAGTTTAGAAAAACGCGATGGAATTTATAATTATTTAAAAAAAAATTAATAACAACCGTTAATTTGCTACCCAATAAAATACTAATTTTAAGAAGATATCACTAATATAAAAATGACATAGCAGTGATATAGTTTATATTGATTTATATAGGTGATGATTTACACGAAAAATGAATATTGATGATATATTTTATTAATAGTAGAATGATTATTAAATTTACAAATTACTATTTTTTTGCTAAGTCTAGACTGTAGAATATGATATTCGTGGTTGCAAGTGTGCAACCACGAGCACAGACGTTGCTTACACACGCACGCACGTGACAGGAGCCAAGCCAAGCAGCCAAATGTAATATCCAGTTGTGCCGATTCGGCCCGGTCCAATAATAAAAGGATCGAGTCAAACCGAACCGATATACTGGCTCGGCCGCTCTGACTATCCTTCTTCCTCTCCCACTCGGACTCGGTGTTCTAATTTATCTCCGTAAGCTTTCAGAGTAAGAACTCCTCGGTCCGACTACAAAACGGAGATAGAAAACCCTAAAATTAGTTATCGCTCTCTCTATCGAGTAGTCTCGACTCAGTACATAATTTTACCAGAAACTCATCTCCATCGCCGATCAACTGTTTCGTCTTCCTGAAGACACCAAAGTCGAACTCGGAATTTCGTCTTACATCCCGAGGTTCACGGCGTCGCCTTCTTAGAGAGCTTCGGGGGACCGGACTTCTCTGCATCTGCTCACCACTTGACGGAAGCACTCCTTGGCCATCACAATACGGAATTCAGGTCAGAATTAAGGCCCCTCATGGCTCATATCCGACTATTTTTTGTTTAAATAAATGAAAAAAAAAACTTTATTAAAATTTTTTGAAATCCAAATACGGGAGTCGAGAGAGAGAAAAATTAGAGAGAAGGGAGATAAAACTTCCTAGTGCTTGGGCCAGTGAACCAATTTTTATGACTTTTAGTTTTATTATATGAAACGAACCTAACTTTGTGTAAGCATTGGCTAAGTTGGAGCGTGATTATGGTTGGTTAGAACTGTTTTAGCTGGGTTTGGCCATTTAATTGCTGAGGTTGGGAATTTCTTTTGTGTTTTGTTTTAGTTTAATTTTAAGTGTTCTATTAGTTGAATTTTTGTGTGATTAATTATTTAATTTTGAGGAAATATTAATCTTACTGCTGGTGCTGCTGGTTCAAGTTTAGAGTTCAATGTGATGAAATTAGAAGTTTAGTGCTCGGAGTGAATGATATATAGCGGTAAAAATAATTTTTTCCAGAAAGGAAAAAGTATTCCGAATTCATAGCCCAAATGACTATGATAGAACTAAACTAGCCAAGCTCAAGCTGGACAAAAGTAAATTCTTTTCTTTTTTCCCTAAAAAATATTGGCCAAGGTTTAAAATTTTAAAAAACATACTATATCATTTTGTGATGGAAAAGGTCTCATCGTTTAGCTAAAAGCTTCATTTTTCACATTACTACTTGAAGCATCACTGAGCCGCTAACAAATTCAATTTATTTTTTCAGGGGATCCGTAAGGAACATGGAGAAAACTACAATTGATCCTGCCTCTGATGGCGAGGAAGATTATGTATTGCTCGATCTTGGTGATGTATCGCTTCTTGACATCCCACCCAATGCTCCATATGTTCTATCTGTATGTTTCTAACCTACTCTGATTTCAAGTAATGAATTTTTCTCTACTGTTGAGCTTATCATGGTTAAATCAAAAATTCAATGTTCATTATTTTTCACTCTAAGCTGTTAAGTATGCATCATTTGAACATTTAAAAATTAGACTTAACAGGTAAAAGATTAATTGTCTTAAGTTAGTTAAACAGAAATTTGATTGTACAATAGTCCACAAGTAATGTATTCAATTGTATATTTTATGAATAATTGTTGACATTCTTTGTAACAAATTGAATGGCATATGTTATGAGAACCGTTGGAGAGTTAAGTAAAAACTGACTTATCTTATTGATTTAAAAAAGAATGGAAACGAAAAGAGAAGCTCCACCTTACAAATAGGTTAGGCTTGAGTGGAATGATAGTCAGTTACATTAGGTTCCATCAAGTAAAAATAAAATAACCACCCTTGGTAAAAACTAATCCTAACAACTAATCAAAATAAGATTACAAATTGACCTCTCCATCAATACCAATCCCCTCCTGAGAAAAACAACTAAATCACAAGTTAGGACTACTTCTCACCTGGATGATAATCGTTAGCCAAGTCAAAGCATTATACACATTATTAGTGTTGAGATCAGATGGCAGATTAACAGCATACTGTTGGATTTGAGGGAAAGGAGAGCAAATTACATTAGTTGCCATCAAGTAAAAGTTAAATAACCCCAGGTAAAAACTAATCCTGACAGCTACTCAAATATAAGATTATTATTTAACCTCCATGCCTGTATCAAGAGCAATACTAAGTTTATATGGATTGCTACTGTTCAATAGACAGGTATTAATCACCAACCATCTCAATTGATAACAAAAACTTTCCCACTATTATACTCCTTTACTAGGCTTCAGTGCTAGACTAAGATACAACTTGTCCTGGAGTATCTGGTGAGGCGTGAGGGTGTTATCAAGTTTTTGATAATTACGTGTTGGGATCTTTAAGAATTAAATTGATGTGTTTTGTTGGCCAAGAATTTTGTTAATCTGTATGATTTATTAAAGTTTTGTTTAATTTGTTTTGCAGGGGTTGGACACAATGAATCCAGTGTTGACTATATGTGACAAAATTAAGATGGTAAGTTGTAAAAATAAGATTCAAGCTCTGCACCTAGTGTACTGCAGAACAATCTGAATGTGTAAAATCTTTGGCATTATTGAGCTCACACATGATCACCTCCGTATGCATTTTTCTACTTTGCAGTTTATTTTTCTTAAGTAGTTAAGTTATCTTCTACCTGCCTCTCTGTTTGAGAGGAACTTGGGGCTTCACTTGCTATTCTTGAGTAATTTATGATTTATTAGGTAAAGTTCTATCGGATATGTGTGACTTATGTTTTTGTTCCTTCAATAAAGAAGCTTTAATTTGTTGTTTACTGTTGTTAAGAGTACAATCATTTTTTTCATTTGAGGATAAGCTTCCAGATTAGATGTATATTACTAGAGAAAAACTCCTGAACCATACTCCCTTTTGTTTACATAATAAATGAAATATATGGACCCTGCACCATCATTTCTAATACAGTGCTCACAATTTAGATGAAATTAATAATATTATTTTTTTGTTTGGTCGGGGGTAAGGCTGTCTCTGTCCGATTTTTTGTGAATAACAGGCAAATATATATAAGATCCTTGCCATTTTATGATCATACTAAATATAGTGAATTAATTTATGTTTATCTCTCTTTTTGTAGGTTGGAGAATATGAAGAAACAATAGGCACATGTTTGACCTTTGCCGAAGGTGAGTAACCTCATTTTATTATATTTCTTAACCTGTAGCATTAGAAAACTATGTACTGGGGATGGCAGTTTGGAAGCAATTCCTTAATAGAAGCTATAAACTATATACTTGTTTAGCTGTCTTAAAGAACGACATTTTTTTGGTTGTTTATCTCAAAATGCATATATTTTATATTTTAAATTTTCAACCATTTCAATATGACCTTGAGCTAACTTCATCCAGTAAATTTAACACATGTATGAATTTGATTTCTGAACCTTTATGTAAGTTTCCAATTTGTTGGTTGAACCATGAAAAAATTTAATGAACTTTAAAAAAATGGTGGAACATGCTGTGTTGCTGCTTTGCTTATACTGTGTGCACATTGCAATAGAGATTGGAAAACCATTACTGAATTCATGTTCACTACTGTAGAGGAAGTCTCTGTGGTTGAAGAAGAAGAAGAAGCAGGGCCATCTGAAACAATTCATCGCACGGCAGAGGCTGTTGCACCAAATCGAGCTCCAAGGAAGGAGTTGAAACCCATTGCTTCTGTTCATAAGATCCTTAAGTTTAAATTATTGCCTGATTCTGCTGTTCCAAACTCAACATCTGAGCACACTTGAGAGACTCAGATTATTTGTATATATTACTTTGGTATGTTCCTTGATAAGCCTTAAAAAGAGGAAGAAAAGACAATTTTGTTTTAGAAAAAAAACTACAATATTTTCCAAATAGTTTAAGAAACGATGTATTTTAAAATTTAAAAAAAAAAAAAGGAAAGAAAGAAACCCCAAAAAAAGATTAAAATCTGAAACGATGGGCTAAAGTCATCGTAAACGTCCCACGACCACAGTTTTAGCAAAGCGACGACTAAGATTCATCGTCGCTTAATAATAGCCACGTCAGTTTCCACGTAGCTTTTCTCATTGAGAAGTTCACCCGGCGGTGACGATTGTAACAATCACAGCCTCTTCGTACCCGCAACGAATTCACATTGTGCACAGTAGGCAGTGGCCAAAAATTAAAATCACAGACATTCTACAATCAATGAAGTAGACCATTAATTGTTTACCTTTAAAACGTTTTCGGGATCTTTTTTTCTACCTTAGGAGATTCTTCTAAGTGGTTTCCTATTTATTAAACATTGATCTACTTATCAATTAAATATAATAATTATTTTTAAAATGAGATTCATAGTCTTAATTCGGTATTCTTCTTATAATAAAATAGAAAAATATGTATATTTTAGTAATCAAATTAAATATTTATCATTGTTCTATGTGGGGGAAAAGGAAAAAGATAAGAATAAAATAATCTTATTTTTGCGTCATCTCGTCGTCCTCGCGAAATCGCCGGCCATCTTCTGAGAATAACAATAACCTTTTTAACTGAAACTTGGCTCTCTCACAAATCGAAGCCTTCGCGTTGTGTTCCTAAAGAGTGAGAAAATGCCAGGATTAATCGCACCCTCAGATTACTCGCGAGAGCCACCTCGTCATCCATGTCTCCGGATCAACGCCAAGGCAACCCCTTCTTCCTTCTTCCATCTCTTTTTTCTCCCTTGAGTTTCTGCAATCCGAATTTACTTTTTGCCGGAACTTCTATCGTTTCTTTATAGTTTGCATATGTGATTTACTCTCAGATTATTGTCAATTTGATTGGTTGTGTATCATCCATTTCGTTTTTGTAAAAGTTGTTGGAGAGCATACTTTCTAATGACACATTCTGTGATTTTGTATTGTTTTGTTTTCTTCAGTTCCTCCAGCTTCCTTTTCTTTGTCAATTGTGCCTTCTTGTTCTTTAAATTGTGTGTGATTGGTGACTTAATTTGTGTCTCCAGAGCAATACCGCTCGCTTCGGTATTTCCGATTTGGACTTCTTACTTTGTATAAAATCGACTAGCCTTGAACTAATTGTTCTTTTAGGGATGAATCAAACTGACCGGGAAGAAGTGCTTGTTGTTAATTATGTTTGTCTCTCCATGCGTAATGAATTCTTATGCTGATATTTCCCCCCGATATATCTGGCACAGGAGCCCTTCAATGCAGAGCCACCACGCTCAGCCTTGATTTCATCTTATGTGACCCCTGTAGATTTGTTTTACAAGAGAAATCATGGCCCTATTCCATTGGTGGATGATATTGAAAGGTTTTCTTGTTCCTCCTACTCCCCGCCCCTCCTTAACATTCTCATCTCCTTTGTGCTTCCATTTTGCTTTCAATTACTTCATAGCTTTTATTTTACATTGTAGATATTCTTTCTCTATATCGGGCTTAATACAAAATTCAAAAGAGCTGTTTATGAAAGACATCAGGTGAACTGTGGTATTTTGGATCTAAATGACCATTTCCTTTTTGTTTATGAAGATACAACATATTAGTGAAGCTTGTGTACTAACATACTTCAAAAAGTACTTAAGATTGTTATAATGTTACAGGATGCTTCCAAAGTATAATGTCACTGCCACTTTACAGGTATTCTCATTAGTAGGCATAAGTGGTTGGTATTTCTTCTTTGCCTGGAGTTGGAAATTCTGACTCCAAGTCTATGAGGTAGTTTCCTTTATGCGATTCTTGATTATATAATTTGGCATCATTTGGCTTGCATGGACATAGTGTGCAGGTAATCGAAGGACAGCCATGAGCAAAACTAGAACAGTCAAGGGAGTTGGCTGGGATGTTTCTGCTCTAGGAAATGGTATGCAGCATGCATCATCTAACGTTTTAGATGTTTTAGCTAATAGAATTCATCTTGTTGAAAAAGTTGTTTTAATCCTCAGCTACCTGGGGTGGTGCCAAATTGGCTGATGTTCTCGAACTTGTTGGAATACCTAAATTCAGCTATAGCACACAAAAGGGTGGAAAACATGTTGAGTTTGTGAGCATTGATAGGTGCAAGGTACAACTTTGACCCGTTTAGATGCCTTTTCCCAAATAATAAGAAACAAAAAGGCACTTTATTTATAAAGATATGCCAAATGTTATTGAAAGTCAACTTTTTCTTTATTTTCCTTTAGTTTGAAGAAATTTGTATAGAAAGAAAGTAAGGGATGATTTTGTTGGTTGCTATGCTTCTTGCTATGGTTATTGAATACAGGAAGAAAATGGAGGTCCATACAAGGCATCAATTCCGCTAAGCCAAGCTTCAAACCCTGAAGCAGATGTGTTGCTTGCTTATGAAATGAATGGAGAAGTAAGTTCTGTTGCTTTAAAGGAGCTAAGAGAGTACATGTTACATATTTGAAGTTCGTGCCACATCAAACTCCTCATCTCTTCTACTTAATAAGATAATATATTATATGTATGAATACATTACAATGGATGAACTTTATTTGTTTGAATGGGCCTGCCTTAAATTGTTTCCTGATTGTTGGTAATAGTAATTTTTATTCATGCTTCTTGTCTTTCCAACCTGTATTCCTTCTACTTTGGAGTAATTACTTCATTGTTATTATTATTATACGGGTGAAGGGGTGGTTTAACTTTTTAAGTGTTATGCTATCATGTAGCTTCTTATTGTGCAACTAATACTAAATATAGTTTTCCTTTTCATCAAAGCCTCTTAATAGGGATCATGGTTATCCATTGCGTGTTGTCGTCCCTGGTGTTATTGGTGCACGCTCTGTAAAATGGCTTGATTCTATCAACATAATTGCCGAGGAATGCCAGGTGGGAAATATGAAATGTAAGAGTTTATTTTCTTCTCAACAAAAATTGTTTTCCCTTCAAATTGAGTTCATGTTATTGCCTTGCAGGGTTTCTTTATGCAGAAAGACTACAAAATGTTTCCTCCATCCGTAAATTGGGATAACATTGATTGGTCAACAAGGAGGCCTCAGATGGATTTCCCTGTTCAGGTTTTTGCTGAAGCCTACTACTGCTTTGCTAGATTACGCCTTTTTACTTGATTTTTGCATTATTGTCATTGTTGTTCATAATTTGTATGGTTCCCGAGATCTGAAATCCTGATTTTATTTTATTTGAAGTATACTGAAATCTTGATTAAATCCATTAAAAACAACGTAGAATATTTCCATAGAAAGGAAAAGTATAAAACAGTTCCATATTTTGTAGCATTTACCTGACTAATGCTATTGAACTTGCTGAATTGCAGAGTGTCATATGTTCTTTGGAGGATGTAGATCAAATAAAGCCCGGAAAGGTTAGTTCATTTACTCAAGTCCAATGTTTAATGAAAGATAGAAAATATAGATGATGATGATCTATGCAAAGGATTTCCTATTACAGATCTTAGAGCTTCCAACCTTCTGCCTTCCTTCATCCAGGTTAATTTATAAGTTCGGTATATGTAAATCAGCAAAAACTGGACATTTTTCTGTCTGCATATTTACAATCTAGCTTTCATCCCTTCTGCATCATTTTCTTTAAAGAATTTCCCTCTTATTCTCTCGTTTTTTCTTCTTCTTCTTCACTATTAGTATAATGGTGATAGAGCTGAATACCTACTTGAACAAGCTAATATGATTGTGGTCCTGAAACGTATGTCAGGTAACAGTCAGTGGTTATGCAGTGTCGGGAGGTGGGCGTGGAATAGAGAGAGTAGACGTATCCATCGACGGAGGCAAAAACTGGATCGAAGCCAGCAGATATCAGAAGATTGGTGTCCCGTATGTTGCAGATAGTCCTAGCAGCGACAAGTGGGCATGGGTGTTTTTTGAGGTCACACTCGATGTCGTACGTAACACCGAAATCGTTGCCAAAGCTGTAAGTCTCTTTGAATGAAAATATGGTGATATAGAAGTAATCCAAACAGCTTGGAGTTTGAGCTTAGTTGAGTTGCTAACTTGTGCAGGCTGATTCAGCAGCGAATGTGCAACCGGAAAAAGTGGAAGAGATATGGAACTTAAGAGGTATACTGAACACCTCATGGCATAGGGTTCAAGTTCGAGTTGGTCGTTCCAATATATAGAAGACTGAACTGAGCCGCATAAACCGTTGTCCAATAAGTCTTTTCTTTTTCACCAAATTGCTCTGTGTATGGCTTCTGATTTTACGTTGGAAATGCGAATAAGAAACGTTGGAACCTGCTTACACTGATGCAGCACATTCCGTTTAGGGTGAATTTTTTTTGCTTTTCTTTTTTTGACAAAACCGTTCGGGGTGAGTTTGTGCACAAAACTCAAACTATAAACATATTAATTGTCGCCTCAATTATAATGCTTCTTAAAATAAAAAATAAAACATTCTGAGAGTAGTGCTATTTTGAGAACGTCAATTTAAACATAGTTCAACGATTAAAAGGGAGTGAATTCAAGTTCATATCTCCACTCCACTTGTACTAAAACAAATTTTAAGGATTTTCAAAATCTAATTGAAATGAAAATTTAAAATTAACTCGCTCTTAGATTAGAATAAATGATTCTAACACTTCATTTCTTTTGTCAGATCTTAAAATCATACCAACGTGGGACTACAAGTAAAAAATAACAAAGCGTAATCCAAGCTATTGGTAATCAAAAATAAAGAATTAACTAAAAGAAAAAAGGCGCTTAAAAGTATGGCGTTAAAATGATATCTCAATCCTCCTCCCACATACATTCAATACATTGAATTTTTTATTTTATTTTTGTTTCCCATTACTTTCCCATCAAATATTCCACAGAACAAACTTGCCATAATAGATCTCGGAAGGGAGGATCAGAGACAACTTCTCTATAGCACAACTCGAACTCGAATCCATAGAAAGATTGAAATCCTACAAAAGGGCAACACCACACCTTAGAAACACACTTGAATAGAACACACCTTATGAGACCATAGATAAAGAAACAGGCTTTGTGAATAAAATTTAGGCTGTTAATTTAACTTTGTGAATAAAAATTTCAAGAAAAAAGAATCTTCAACCCCAAGGTTCATAGGGAGACGAAGAACAAGAACTGTCAAACTCACCCATAGTTTAATTGCTTGAGCTTCGGTATTGTTCTGTATTTACGTGAAAAATCCTCTTAAATGAAATAAATTTCAGATCTCAAGACAGACAGATTATAACGACACTTGATCTAAATGCCGCTAAACAATTAGTCCATGCTCAGCTTGTCAGCTTACCTTCCTTCTATGTCAAATATAAAGATTCAAAGTGACAGGCTCCCAAATTGCTTGTTCCATTCATCATATGTGCCAAGTTCGTTCAAAGAGACGGAGGGCCTGACCTCTTGCAATGCGCTCTCAAAGTCCTACATAACTTAGCCAGAAAGAATCAAAGGATATAGTAAGCCTGAGAAAATAAACATAGGCCTACTTATCTATGAAAATCTCACCTTTAGGGTTACAGGCCGCATATCCTCCTTTTTTAGCAATGTAATGTCTGTGCCTTGTTTCAGAGCCTCCCTTAAAGGGCCCATTGATGCGTCTTTCACAAGGTTTTTCATGTCTGAACCCGAATATCCTGTAATTGCACATTTTCCAGCAAAATTTCATAGACAAAGTTAAGACGGATGTTATGCATTCACTGCCAAGTAACATAGTGAAGGCAAGAATTTAGCTCTAAACTTCGTAACATGGATACCTTCTGTTAAAGTGCATATCGTATCAATTTCCTCTTTTGAAAGCTTGAATAATCCATCCTTCTCCAGGAGATTGCGGACAATCCATGCTCTGGCTTCTATATTGCCAATATAACTAGTTAGCCATGTGCTAAGAGTGTCGGGTGCATTTAATTATTATGGATAAAATCATGTGTACCTGAAGAAGGGAGGGGAATGTAAAGTCTCTTGGTAAGTCGTCTCCTTGCAGCTTCATCAAGTTCTTGCGGCCGATTAGTCGCTCCTGAATAAGTTTAAAATCTTTAGAATGTGCAGAGTTGCGTTAAATTTGCGTGATAAGAATAGATCAGGCTTGCAGAGTTTGAAGATGAAAATTATTAATACCACAAGGTAAATCTTAAGAGAAATCATGTCAACTTCCAGCCGTGTGCATAAAAGAATGCAAAACTTCAAAAAATTGATTTAAAAGATCTTTTTCGCTAGTATGAGTAATTGTACTAATCATGACCTTTATTTTGAAAATTAAAATATTTTGAATGTGAAGTCACATTACAAATCCAGAAAATTACATGAACTTACTCATCATAAAAATTGTTTTGAGCGTGTCCAGAATTTCCAAAAGTTCGACTTAAAACTTTTGGAAACTAATGCCAGAATTTTCAATCTCGAATCTGTCCAAGAGAATCTAAAGAGTAGGAACTAGGAAGTATAGACTAGAGCATTCTTCGTATGCCAAACCATTATTGAATTTTTCAGAATGCATACTATTTTCTTTCACAGGACAAATGACAATGGAAAAACTATTTACATGGAACCATGAGCAATATTTTAAAAATGAGGAAACGTTACCTATAAGAAGAATCTGCTCACTGCCATTGTCAAAGCCCTCCATTTCAATAAGGAACTGTGTTTTGAGTCGTCTACTTGATTCATGTTCACCATCTGACTTACGCTACAACCAGAATAAAATTTCACAAGTGATACGAAAAGAATAAATATATGAACTGATCATAAAGCAACATGAACAGTCTTGCTGATCAAACTTGCTTAGTAAACAGCATCTTTATACGAACTGAGAACTATTTCAAGCATGTATGGAATAAGAAGTTTACCTGAGACAGAAGTGAATCAATTTCATCAACAAAGATGACAGCTGGCTGACGACAACTGGCAACCCCAAAGAGGGCTCTCACTAGCTTTTCACCCTCACCAATCTACATTCACCACTTGAATAATTACTATTTGAAACGTATTTCATATATTCTCTGAATTTCAAGAAAACTAAGAGGCCGTTTGGAAGTTGTCTTCAAAAATAGTTTTCTATCTCTTAAGAACAGAAACCCAGTGAAGTATGCTTTGGAGAATTGTGTTTGAAAAGTTATTTTACTCTTATAATTTGTTTACACAAATAGTTTCTGAATATTGTTTTCGAATGCACAACAATCTTTAACCTTTACAACTATCCAAAACAGTTTTTATGACAGAAGCAAAAAATTGTACTTCAGACCAATCCTCAAACAACGTATAGACTATTAGGGAAGTAATATCATCACTAGCTTTTTACCGAACTATGATAAGTAGTAACACGATGAAGTATGCAGTGAAGCAAAAATACTATCTAGCAAGTGTTATCATGATTAACTTTTTATCGAACTATAAAAAGTCAATTTCAACTAAAATCTAATGATTGTTTCAAGAACGTATCTGAAGACCATATTTGAAACATTAAGATCAATTGAAACTTTCCCATAAGTCTAAGAATATTCATAACCATTACATAAATAATGCTAATCACAGTTAGCCCTTACCCACTTGCTAGTTAACGAGCTGGCAGATATATAAAAGAAAGTTGCTTTTGCCTCTCCAGCGATTGCTTTTCCAATCATTGTTTTACCTGTTCCCTGAAAGAGAGTTATAGATTATAAAACAGAACTTCCGTGTAGAATATTCATAGCCATAAACTTACCGGTGGACCAAAAAGAAGGAGACCTCTTCCAGGAGAACGACAACCCTTGAAAATGTCCGGACGTAATAAAGGCCATATTACCATTTCAGTCACACACTTCTTTGCATGTTCAAGACCAGCTACGAATTGTCGTGCAATGAGTTTAAATCAGCACATTTCCGTAAAGAACGCAACTGTATTGAATAATATAAGGAACAAAACACCTGGTATTACCTATGTCATCCCACCGAACATTAGGATCTCTGTCCATAATCTCATTGCTAACATGTTCTATAAGTCGAGGCTCCAAATTCCTTAATTTTTCAGGAAGCTCACCATCAGGACCGCATAACATTTCCATACTAGAATACAACATGAAGCGGGTCAGAATCTGAATAGTTGTAGGAACCAACTTATAATTCTTTTTCACATATAAAGGATTTCATGCATGCATTTTGTAAACCATTGGAAAGTCTAATGACAAAATTTATCGTGACTAACTTATATCACGTAGAGATATCAACAAATCCAGGAATACGTGCCAACTCTTAAAAAACTTACATAGAAAACAAAATATAGTCGAAGCATCACAATAAGTTTGGCAAACCCTTGGTCATTGTACAAGTACAGTGGCAGATCACAGTAGCTATACAGAAATACCATTCGAACAGGAACCCACTAGTTTGTCTAGATACTGACAAAGCATGGTGACAAGTACTTAGGGATGGTTTGCAGAAGTAACAAGATATAAGACGAAGTTGGGAACTTTCAGCAGTAAAACTTCAGATCTTGTGGTCAAACTATTTACCATCTCTTTGTTGAGTCATCCAAAGAATCTTCACCTTTTCCACCAATTCGTGAATTTATCATGTTCCCAGCAGTCCCCCCATTAGACCTTATAGGAGGTACAAAATTTCCACGCACTCCACGACGTGAAGAAGAACCATATGATCGCATGCCATATCCTTTATTGGAAACGTTATGGTCACTTTGAGGGGAGACAGAAGTATTTGGTGATCCTGCAAGTCCTCGTCTTTGCCTTGCATCCATTTCCTAATAGTGAAGAACCGAACAAGGTCATCAAAATTATTGGTAAATAGGTAAACAAATGAGACAGGCAGGGGGAAGAATGCAATAACCCCTCAGCTATTATACAAAGGATGTCTCCATAGAGAAAATGTTAACCTTAAGTTACTTTGCAGTCGGAATATTTCCTGGCCTAGGTCTCCTTAAAATGAGTTCACTTTTATCGATTTTGAAATACTTTTTCATAAAAGCATGCACAGGCATTAATTGTGGAAATAAATACCAGCTTTGTTCTTGCTGTGACAAATGCATTGCCAGAAATATCAGCATTGGCTTCTTCGGTACTCAATGGTGAGTTGGCATTGTCTACCTTAGGACTGCTTATTTCCATCCGAGAACGTCTTGTAGCACCTGTGTTTCCATAAGGTCGACCTTCCTCTTCAAGTTTTATTAAAGATGCACCTTGGGCTTTTGTATGATCATGTAATGAATGATCCTTTTCTAGAATAACACAGTCGTCAAGGCCATTACTTGAGCGCAAAGAGCTCCTGTACAGACTAGGACTTGTCCTACTATGATCTTTTCTATACAAAGACGTAACCTTCGCTTCTGCATTGATTTTTGGTGCCTTGGTACTCAACTTATCCGGCCTCTCTAGCTGATCCTGAGAAGTGAGAAGATATGGTAGATAATGAAATTTTCAGATGTCCTTGAAAGCGAAATGAATAAAGTTTTTCAATGGATGACAGTTACCAATTCATTAACAACCCTTCCATTAGACGACTGAAGTGCCTGAAAGTACTTTGACTGCTTAATCTTGCTGAAATCTATTTCTTTGCTCATGCTAAAAACACATTCTGGAGCTTTCTTTGCTTGTTCAAATACTTGTCTGATAGCAAAATGACGCAACAACCAAATTGGAATTAGTTCAGGATAATACATGAGCAGGAACTGTTTCAAGTTTCCAAAAATCAAAATATTAGTATATGTAACGAGATATAATACAGTAAACCGAAAATGTTGTTATCTACTAGTTACTACCAAGTCAACTCAATGTATATGCTGCACTCGTAATTTATGCACTTGGAACGGCGGACGTTTGTTGTTCGCTAAATAAAAATTCAAAAACATCATACGTGATCCAATTTCATCAGCCGTCAGTAAGCGCTTGTGATAGCTTCAATAGCTCTATTCCAACCCTAAATTCTGCATTTCCTCTAATTGCCTACACAGCCTGAGAAAAGGATCGGTAATTCATTTCTATTTTCCATCTCCCGGAGTTCTTTTGTCTTCGCATTGCTAATCTCAGCTCTACTCCAATTTAAAACTCTAATTTCCTCAATTAAACTGGCGACTGAGATAAGCATCAAATCCAGTACAGATTCTAAGTTCTCGGAAGTATCGACTAAATACAGTCCAGTAAGTTTTCTGAATAATTAAGTTCCAAGGGCAAATGAGCTCCAAGTCAGATAAAGCAACAGTTCATATTCATTTCCCAGCGCTCAATGAATTTCTCTCACTATAAGGAAAAAAAGAGATAATGTATGTGCCTTAAACATTCATACCGATCAGATTCCGGCATGAGGGATCGGCGAGCGACGTCAATTTTCTCAACAGCTTCGCGCCTAATGGGCTGAATAAAAGCTTGATCGACATCGGTATGTGTCTGGGAGTCAAGAAAGCCGAGAAGACGGAGGCCAAGAATTTGAGCCGCAGAGTAATCGCGCTTTTCGAGTGCGAGATCGGCGCCGAAGAGGAGGGATTGGAGCCTCTTCAGGTTCTGGTCCACTTGCTTTCTCCAGCATGCCTCCTCCTCACCGATTCCGATTCGTTCTCCGGATAGAGAAGACGAAGACAAAGATGAATGCGTTGAGCTCTGCTTGGACTGGAACTCCTCTTTTCCCGCCATTTTCATGTTTGCGAGCGCTGTGGCTAGCCACTTTATTTGAGCTTCCGCAATCCGCCCTGTTTCTGTAGCTCTTGGGCCTTGGCGGGATATATGCCCATACGCTGAAATTCTGCTTCTCAATTTTTATCTTTTTAAATTCTTAATTACTTTTATCATTGTATTCAAAAATTCAATTAAATTACTTTTCCAACTTGTTAAGTTGGTTAGATTCAAATTAACCTTCCCTATTTTGTTGTACTAAAAATCGTAAAAAGAAAATATGCACACATACTTATACAATTAAAAAAACATTATGATTTCATTAAAATAATGATTTAGTCTTTGAATTTTAATTTACAATAATTTACCACTATCTTTTAAATGGGTAACAATTTAATCTCTTTACTTTAAAATATGTTACGATTTAGTCTCTATTGCGAAAGATTTCATCAAAATTAAGTATTGTTTTTATCATATAACGATTAAATTTTTGTAATTTATAACACATTTAGCCTCTCGCCAGTTTGTCAATCTACATAACAAATTTTTTTACAATAAGAACTAAATCATTACAAATTTTAAACTAAATTGTTATATATTAAAATTTATAGACTAAATTTTTACCATTTAAAGGTACACGAACTAAGTTATTGCGAACTAAAATTTAATGATTAAATCGTTACTTCCAATTTATGAAAAGTCTTTTATAACATTTTATACATACACGATATAATATTGGCTAGTAAATGATGCTGACCGACCTCCTATGTAAAGATTCAATTTCCAAGCCAACTAATATACGTGTATTTGGATTTTGGATTAAGAAACTTTTAAGTACTCAACTTGCTTTAAACTGTTTAAATTAGGTGACTTAAATGAATGTATAAATATTATTTTGATCTATTTATTTTACACCACGCTATCCAATTATTGTCCACAACTTTATTATCTAAAATCTGTTTAGGGATTGAAAAGTCCTTTCCCATCCATATAAAATTTAGATTACATATATGTTTTGGCCTTTAATGTTTTTATACATGTTTTAGTCTTTAATATTTTATTTATTTATGAGTCTTCCTAATTTAAAAATTGTCAATTTAATTAATTCCTATTTTTTAATAATTTTAAATTATACTAGTGGTTAATAAAATTTAGTGGGTTAGTAAGAATTTAGGAGATAAATAACACCACCAAAATTATTAAATTCAAACTTCTAAAACAACAAAATTAAATTTAAGAAATAGGACTAAAACATATATTTAACTTTTATTTCATATACCACGGATAATAACCCATTATAATATTTTATTCATAATTGTAACCTATTATTGGAGGATAAGATATAATGCAGTGAATTATTAGTCATTTTAAAAGCAATTGCTTGAAAAGTAAGCGATAATTATTAAAACAAATAGCTCATAGCATACGTACTAAAATAATTATTTTCTTTTCTTTCAAAAAATTTAATTAATAATTATTTGATTTAGAGAAAGAAACGGAATAACAAACTAGTGATTCTGTATATATTCGTGAGGAATAAAATAATAAAATAGAAAGAGAAAAAGTGGACTGGAAAAGCAGTTGGATGCGTTTTGTCGTCCCTTATGTGTGGGAGACGTGGCGTATCGGAAACGCACCGTTTTGCTTTCAATTTCCCGACGTTTCTCACGTCTCATCTCATCTCACCACCACAATTTTATCGTCTCCTTTTCCCCTCCTCATGAATTCCGTGTTTGGTTGTTGGAATAAAAAAAAGGATTTATTTCTTTCTAAAAAAAGAAAATAATATAATTAAATCACATCGTTGCATAATTAAGTTACTCAATTTCTTCATTTTCCCAAACACGTCTTCTAGAAATGGGACCAAAATACGGTTTTTTATTCTATTTCTGAGATAATTTAAAACAAAAGGGTGCCCCATAAATATAGTCAAATCAGTTTTTTTCCCTTCTAATATTCTGATTTAAAAATAATATTTATTTATTGGTGGTAGGCAATCGCATTATTGAACTCCAATGACTATGGAATTCCATTAAAGTATGGATAAATTTATTTATTGTTGTATTTATTGTTCAAATAGTGACATTGAGATATGTCGTGATATAATATGACGTGCTGGATCATCTTTTGTTTAATGGTTAGTAAAGTCACGGACAATATTTCTCCAATAGATTTTTTACCCTGCATTTATTTACATAAGTCAGAGTTAATTATTAAGCTTTGGTTTTTGTCACATTAAATCACAAACTTAAATAATCAGTGAAATAAATACTTTATTATTATTATTATTATTATTATTATTTTGTTAAATTTGTCTCTGGTTGTTAGCTTTATTGTAGATGACAAAACTATTTTTATGGGTACTTATTTTTTTAGTTAGACTGATTTTTTTAGTTTGGTTTCAAGAAAAATTACACTAAATGATATAAAATAAATATAAATATCTATATATAATTACTTTTTTTTTCAAAAGATGACTTTCGGTTGTTTTCGGTATAAATACAATTTTTGTAAAATTTGAAAACTAGTTGTATATATAAATACATATGGGCAATAATTTTACTTATTGTTCAAATTTATTATGTGAATTAAGTTGTTGTAAATCGGTTTATTATTTTTTAGTTTTGTTTTTTTAGTACAACATATGGTTGGAGAATCCAACTCACATACTTTTGATTTGAGATATATGTTAATTACCGCTGAGTTAGGTTCGATTTAACTATTTTTTAATTTTGTTAACTCTGTTGTAGTTTGTCAAGAGAATAGTTAACCTATGAGTTTACTTATTTATAAAATTGTATTCATTACTCGAGAGAATAAAATAATTCTGTCACATTTTGTTAAAAATTGTCAGAAATAAGGATTTGATTTTAGTAAAATTCAGAGTTTTGGGGTTAAATTGGTTTTTTTTAATAATAAATTGCTTCATTGAGCTAAATCCATACGAAAAATGATTTTTCAAAAAATGATGGTTTCTAAAAAAAATTTAGCTATAAGTCAAACTAATGGTAAATAGGACAATAACATTATCAATTTGCAAATATAGCAAAAAATAAAATAATAAAATAACTTGAAACGTCTATTAATCTATCAGAAATAGACTATATTGCTAATATGATAAAAACTATATTATTGCTATACGCGATGTTATGGATAAGAATAGAGGCGCAGATGTGGGAGCCCAGTGTGACTTCACGTGATAACAGGAACCAACTGCATTGTGATTGGTGACAAACGAAGGAGGCGACGAGAGACGTACATGTGATCTCGCGGCACATCATAATTCCCATGCAGGTAGGACTGATCACGCTCCATGGCGAGCGACCTTCTTGGTAGCCCCGTCACCAATATAAAAGGAGGAATCTCCCAAGGTAAGTGAAAACCATTATTCAACTTATGCTAAAAGCTCTCCATATTTTATTCTCTCTAAACTTCTAACTTGAGTGTTGTAGGATATTTGACAGGTCACTTCATTGATGCCGAGGTCCATTGTCGTAGGTATCCCTGTTTGACGACCACGACATTAAACACATCAACAATTAAATTTTGACATCAACATGTGATACGTGAGGTTAAAAATATAATTATGTAAAAATGTATAGATAGTCTGGTAAAAGAATTTTAAATTTTGTCATATATGTACAATCATAACTATGTTACTATAATTGTTAAATATCAAAATGTGAACTGTGATCCATTAAACTTTTACATTAAAAAAAAAATTCATAAGATCATAACAAAATGCAAAAGGTTATTTTTATTTCCACATGAAATATTTTCGTTTCTTTATTTTTATTGTTCAAATTATATAAATTTTAGTTATCATTTCCCCCTTTTTTTTAATTAGAAAAAAAGGATTTGTAAGGCAAGGAAAAATGTGGAAACCGAACGCCGAGAGGGGCACCCATTCTGTTTGAGAATAATTGAGATTTATCCAATTTATTGACTTTTCCTGGGCTTTGATACAGCCACCTGCACATGTTTGATGAGATCTGCTTCTACGTGGAACAGACCTATAGCTATTTGCCATCTGTCCCTTCATTAATTTCGACCATACGTTGTACAATTATTGTCCATTATTATTTTTTTTTTCTGTTTTTTGTAATTTTTCAATCATTAATAGAACAACAACGGAATACATATTTGTACGTGAAAATGATTTTCTACGAATTTATTTTCTTTATAATTTTAAAAAATATGTATTTCTCGCTATAATGTTTTTGTTTGTTTTCTGTTTTTATTAGTTTATGATATCTTAGTTGAATTTAAGATTAAACAAAATTTTCTTATTAATCTTCTCTATTAAGGAAAAAAAACCTGAGTTTTAACCTTGAAGTTAGCAAGTTATCATTTTTTACCTAACTTTTCATTTAATTGCACCATGTAAATTTTATACAATTATTGCCCCTAATATCAAAGTTTTGCTACATGTCCTTATTAATCTAATGAAAAATTGTGTAGAAATAAAAAATTTCAATAATTCAACAAATTCAAGTCTAGTGCACAAAATTAATTGTTAAATAGGCAATCTGAAATTTGAGAGCTCCAAACAAAATTCTAACTCTATATCATATTTCTCAAGTTTATTAATTTCTCTACTAAGCCTGTGTTTTATAATTCATTAAATACATACCATAATATATATATTTTCTTAATAATTATTCATACGAAAACTTATTAGAAAATACGAATTATAATAATAATAATTCAAGTTTAAGGTACAAAATTGTGACATGTACCCAATACTAAGGTCTAATGAAATTAAAATTTTAGGACAAAAATTGGTATATATTCAAGAGTAAAAATTAAAAAACTTCCTCTTCCAAGAAAAGTTAGCTAAGATTCATCTAAGAAAAATTATACATAAAGAACATAAGCATTAAATAGACTAAGAAAACGATTATACTTTAAATTGTGTTCAGAAGTAATTTTCAAGCCAAACAAATAATTGATATCGATGATGATGATTATTATTATTATTATTATTATTATTTTCATAATTAGAAGGTTGCAATTATACCAAAAGCAATTATTCGTCATTTTGAACATTAATACTCCTATAAAATAAGGACGAATGAATATATTGGGAAAAAAAAATAAGACAGGACAAACGAAGCTATAAATTTATTTTTCAAAAAGTAAAACAAATAAATAAATAAATAAAAGAAGCTATAAAGTTGTTGGCCGAAGTTATTGAAATCACATTACGTAAATTACCAAACCAAGATCGGCCACCTCTTCGTTAACCGAAGAGCCGTTTCTTCTCCACCGTCCATCGTCGTTGATCTGTCGGTGTAGATCACGCCACCCGGTACAAAGCAATTGGAGGACCGATTTATGCTCATCTCCAGCCAACTTGGCCATGAGCCGTGAGGAATCAGTAATAATATTTGCAAAAGAGACAATTTGTGGAAATAATATTGAATTGCATTTTTTAAATAAAACCATACAATAAATATTTAAAACGACATAAAATTGACATCGGAGATAGCTGTGTTTTAGATGAAAATTCAAGGCTAATATCATCATTTAAATTTGTGCAAGATAAGTGCATAGAGATTAGGATAGTAAAGCGTTACATCACATTGAAAAGAGACCTATAATTTGTAGTATTTTTTTCAATCTTTAATCTGTAATTTACTTTTAATATATTTGAATTTATTATATCATTGAGTGGCACATGGCACATGTGGGTATGCATATGAAGACTTGTAGATGGATTTGTGGATATGGAGTAGAATTTTCAACGGGAGAAGCCTATCTAAGAAACCATAATTGCTTTCTTAAAAAAAAAAAAAAAACTTTTCATATTATAAACAAACATAGGTATCACTTTCTAGTTTTAAATATTTTATCTTTGTAAAGGTGATTGGTAGCCAATTAATTAATTTATTAGATTTAATAGATAAATACATCGTATTAATATTTACGATAATAAACAACATGATGCCATAAAGAGGATCTCTATTAAAGAGGTAAGTTTCTTTTATTATTTAAAATTACGTTTAAATCCTATATATTGTGGTCCCTGTAATCTCCAAACATATATTTGGGTCATTATATATTAATAAAATGATTTTTTTAGTCTTGTTTGAAAAATCCTAACATAAATTTTATATACAATAAAATTTTTTTAATATAAAAATATGATATATCAAGAAATTTATTGAGTGTAGTGTTGTATGAAAATTAACATTGAAAAAAAAGATAAAATAGATCAAAACAATAGTTATTTAAAAGTAAATAAATCAAAATAGATGATTTGAAAGTATAAAAGATGAAAATATAAGAGAACATGTATTAAAAACTTTTTTTTTTTTTAAGAGTAGGGGACCATTGGTGTTTTAGAGTAAGGGGCCAAATAAGATCAGGATTTAAAACTTGAAATTATAAAGTCCAAAAAAGGGAGGAAATTTTTGGATAATACCAAATGCCATATTTGGTGAAAGAAAGGTGCAATAATGGTAAATTAGTAAGAAGTGATGCAAATGAGTGCCAAGTTGCCTTGAAAACTACTATGAATCGACAACAACATGAAAAAGAAAAAAAGAAAAAAAAAGAAATAAAGAAAAAGGAGAAAGAACAACTGGTATTTCAAAATGACCACAAGAGAGAAAGTGACAAGACAAATGCATGATTGAGATAACTTTGGTGCATTAAAAATCCTAGAAACAGGGGAGCAGCTTTGCACTTTCTTCCAATCCACAACCAACCATTCTTCATAAGCCTCTCCTAAAGCTGTTTCATTTGTTTCTCCCCCACTGCACCAATGGAGGAAAATTCCAGCCTTGTTGCAGAATCAACTCTCAGTAACGCCATGGAAGCAGAACCTCAAGAAGAAGACAGAGACCCAGAAAGCAATCCCTTAAACCAACCCCTCCTCAAGAGAAGCAGAACTCTGTCTTCCAGTCCTCTCGCCATCGTTGGAACCAAAGTTTCTCTCATAGAAAGCTTGGATTACGAGTAAGAACATAACAGAAATCCCAATCCTCTTTTCTTTTGTTTTGCTGGGAGGGCTGAATTCTTCATTTTCTAAAGTGGGTTTGGTTTGGTTTGAATTAATGCAGGATCAATGAGAACGATCTGTTTAAGCACGATTGGAGAAGCAGATCCAAAGTTCAAGTGTTGCAGTACATATTCTCGAAATGGACATTGGCTTGTCTTGTTGGACTACTTACAGGGATCATTGCCACTCTCATCAATGTCGCCATTGAAAACATTGCTGGCTACAAGCTTTTGAAAGTGGTCAGCTACATAGAAGAAGAAAGGTAAGTTAGTTCATCCCGATTTAACTTTGATTTTGTTCATCTGAGAAAAGAATCTGGTTTTGAAATGATTTGGATTTTTAGGTACTTAATGGGGTTGGCCTACTTTACCGCTGTAAATTTCCTTTTGACTTCTGTTGCTGCTGTTCTATGTGTATTCTTTGCCCCCACCGCAGCTGGGCCTGGCATACCAGAAATCAAAGCCTATCTCAATGGCATAGATACTCCTAATATGTTCGGTGCCACGACATTGATCGTTAAGGTGTGTATCCCATCCTCCAATCTCGGCGCAATGAAAACTGATCAGATGTAATTCAAGAATCATATCTCTCATTTGCATCTGATTGATTGGATTGGATAGGCTTAAGATTTAGACCATGTTCTACAGAGTCATGAATGTCAATGTGAATCAAATCAGACTGATCTGAAGCTCATACAGAATGTAGATTAATCCTTTGTTATTGGACTGAAAGCAAAAAGAGATGTATTTGTTTTTCTGTATCTTTCTCGGCTAAAACCAAGTGGCACTATAAATTGTTGATCCCTGTAGATTATTGGGAGCATTGGGGCAGTGGCTGCAGGGCTAGATCTTGGGAAAGAAGGGCCTCTAGTACACATTGGCAGCTGCATTGCCTCCCTACTCGGGCAGGGCGGTCCAGACAATTATCGAGTCAAATGGACATGGCTGCGCTACTTCAACAACGACCGTGATCGTCGGGATCTCATCACCTGCGGGGCATCGTCGGGGGTTTGTGCAGCGTTCCGAGCTCCGGTCGGGGGAGTTCTATTTGCTTTAGAAGAGGTGGCTACTTGGTGGAGGAGTTCCCTGCTGTGGAGGACATTTTTCAGCACAGCCATAGTTGTAGTGGTGCTGAGAACCTTCATTGAAGTATGCAAAGCAGGGCAATGTGGGCTGTTTGGAGAAGGAGGGCTTATAATGTTTGATGTGAGTGGAGTTTCTGTGAGTTATCATATCATGGACATTATTCCAGTTGCTATCATTGGCCTTCTTGGTGGGTTTCTTGGAAGTCTCTACAACCATCTTCTTCACAAAGTTCTCAGAGTTTACAACCTCATCAATCAGTAAGCAACTAATTCACTCTCACTTCCATGAACCTAAAAACAAGTTGAATCTGCCATGTGAAAGTGAAAGTGAATGTTACCATTTGCAGGAAGGGAAGATTGCACAAACTGTTGCTGAGTTTAGGAGTTTCTCTGTTCACTTCAATCTGCCAATACAGCCTCCCTTATCTTGCCCAATGCACCCCCTGCGACCCTTCTCTTGCAGAATCCGTGTGCCCCACCAATGGCCGCTCCGGCAACTTCAAGCAATTCAACTGCCCCAAAGGCCATTACAACGACCTCGCCACCCTTCTCCTCACAACCAACGACGACGCCGTTCGGAACATCTTCTCCGTCAACACTCCGGCGGAGTACCAG